TTTTTTGTGATCCTTTACTCGGATGTAGCGGAATTATCGAATGGCTCATTTTTCGGTTGTTTCTCAGTATTGCAGATATATGTGAAGAAGCATCAGATAAGTTGAATTAGTCATACAAAAATGAACAAAATTTGCGACTTATTGTGAATAAATATGAATTTATCTACATAATACACGTTCTTCAATTATTTTCTCATCAGTCATATGAATTGTGATTCAACGAATGGATTCTCTGGAATACGCGTATATAAGTTAAAAAATGGAAACATAAATGCCTTTGTTGGAATGAAATGTCAAATGTGAGGAATTTGAAAGTGTTTTGCATCATTTTTCAGATGTGATGAAATTGACAATGCGTTGTCCAAATTTAACAGAAGTGGACCTAAGTGATTGTCCGGGAATAACAGACCGATCTCTGAAAGCAATGCTGCATAATCTGGAGCATCTGAAGGTGTTGTCAATTTCGCGTTGTTACGGAATTGAACCGACAGCTTTACTGTGAGTTTTTGAGTTTCATTTTTGTTTTAGCAATTTTCATTTTCATAGTCAAACTGTTCTAATTCAGATTAGCCAAACATCTTCGAACGTTGAATGTGTTCGGAAATATAACAAATGAAGGAGTGATTTTGCTGCGAGAACATTTGAATCGTGTTAACGTTAACGAGTCATGTTTTTCAACGATCGCTGTTCCAACGCATGGCAAAGATATAACGAGTATTTGGGGACATAGAACTCGAGATATTTATTGAAACGATCGCTTAGTTGGAGCTTCTGATAGAGCACATCTGTTGTTTGTGGTTATTTGATTCGAAGTGTTCTGCTCGAAAACAATTACTCCACTGAAAATTGGTCTCATTTTATTTTATGTTATTCTTATTCTACCTGTACAATCTACTATGATCAGTTGTTTTAACTCAGAAACGTCGTTAGTGTCTGCTGTATGATTTCATTGTTATTTTTATTATTATTATATTTTTTGTAAATTTGTTATTTCTATTGTTATTC